TCCTCAATACAACTTTGTAATGCACTTAATTTCAAAGTTACACACACACTATAGTTCACAACAATTCACTCACTTTCTATCGCGCTTAGACTTAATTGTCTGTCCCCGCCAACTATAGTTCCGATCTCTGTGTCTGCTTTCCTCGGTTCCCGTCGACCGTAATCGCTGTCTTTCTTTCTTTCTGCCTGCTTCGTCTCCGCTTCTGCTTCGTCTCTGTCTCCACTACTGCTTCGACTCTGTCTGTCTTTCCCACTGTCTAGCGCACTTATATACGATAATACTGCCTGTTCTAGAAACTTCTAAGACTCTCAACACGTGCTACCAGGGTCAATTGACTCCTGCTGTCGCAACACACTAGCGAATCTTCTAGAATATTCGTCATATGACCCCGCTGTCGTAACAATATGTTTAAGAATCTTTTAGCATTAATTAAAATTAATTATTTATATATAATGTTAGATAATGTCAATTATGGGTTTGAAAGGTTAGTATTGGTAAACGTTTTAACTTATGGGGTACATATTTGTTGACTTAACAATAAATATCCAGTTTCATTCATTCAGATTTTAATCTGATACTGGCAAACTCCTACATCAAGAGGGGTATTATTGTTTGGAAGTTTAGTTACTGTATAAAATAAAGCTTTCTTGTACATTGACTATTATTGCTAGTATTTATGGTAAAATTTAAATTAGATTGAGAAACATTAGCACTGAAAATACAGAACGACTTCCTTAACCTCTTTTCTTTTCTTTTTTCTGTCAAAATGTTCAATTTTGTGCTAAATAAAACACAGTAAATAATTTGAAGGTTTTAAAACTTTAATTTAGAAATCATCATCACTTATTTTTTGGCACATTTTATTTTTCAAAGTTACTCTCATAATAATTTCAGCTACAAAATACCTATAAATTATTGAAAAGCTTAAACATATTATGCTATTCACTAGCCTAAATAACACCCAGCTGTTAAATAAATTGGATATCAAAGAGAATATGAATTTAGTTTTTAATCTGTTTGTTGTGAAAGTACATTTCTGCATATTTTATTTCTAGAAACTAAAACATTTTTGACACATTAGGAAAATCTTTGCATTAAGTGGAGTTCTGAAAAGTTGTTACTATTTTCAGCTAAAACAAAACTCATAAAATTGTAACAGAACTATTTATTGCTAGGGTATTTCTATCTCAGCTTGTGTTGTGTAATTAAATGAAAAATATTATATTTCTTTTTCATTAAAATTTTAAATAAAAAGATTTAAATGCAACATGTTACAATGTATTACTAGAACACGTAGTGTTATTTGAATGCATCATCGAAATGAACCTGCTTGATTCTGTTATTTAGATGTTATATAGTTACTAATTTAAGTTATTTTTATTTTTCAGGAAACAAGAAGGTAAGAGTTTGGCATGCAGCAATTTCCTTTCAACCTGCAGTGAATCTTGTAAATCCTATAGACATTTTAGTACATATATATGTATATACTGAAAATATTTAATGATGAAGTATCGAAGTTCAAAATTTAGCTTGAATCAAGACAAGGTATGATACTTTAAGATCTGCTAAGTTTGACTGTGAAGCTAATCAGTATATAAGGAATAAAATATTAAGCAGATCTGTTTTGTTTGTGGCATATATATCACGCACATATGCAGGGGGGGGGGGGTTCAGCTGAACCTCCTATTTTTGGGATGTTTAAAAAGTTTGACTATGAAGCTAATTAATATATAAAGGATAAAATCTTAAAGCAGATTTATTCTGTTTGTGGGATATATATATAATGCACATATGCAAAGGGGTTCGACGGAACTCCATATTTTTGTGATGTAAAAAAATACTGCCACTAAGTTCATGTGAATATTCAGTATCTTCTCTCTGCTGGTTGAATAATTAACTGAGGTGTACACAAACTGAAGAAAGACTGAATGTTTTAATTAGCTTTAACACATAATCATTATGACATTGCTATCAACGATGAAACTGTATGTAAATTATTTATGGAAAAGTACCCAAAAAGAATGGGCATGCTAACATGTTATTTCAGTTTTACATACATGTATGTACATGATAGCAATGATTGAAACAGTTAATATACTATTGTTGTACAAAGTTGTTTAAATTGGTAATATAATTTAACAATTAATAACTACTCTGAATGTAGATAGTACAGCACTTTACTATAATAAAACTTACACATTTATGCTAATTTAAATGTAGCTCCCCATGCAACATTACAACATAATTATGATTTCACTTTTCATTGGATGTTTGTGGATTTTACGTGAACAGCCATGCAATTGTTTAAGCTATATTTCATGCAAAATTAAAACCATATTTAATCTCTAGCACCCATATTTTACAAATTTTCTGGGAAGCATGCCCCCCAGACCCCCTAGCAATAGCATGCTTTGCATACTGATTGCGCTTTGCACAATGTGTTAGCTTTTGATTTCAAAAATTAGAAACCCCTTTTCAAACATTCTGCATATGGGCCTCTATGTATTAAGGAATGTTTTGTATTTGAGTTTATAATAAGTAGTCCAAGGATATATGATAATGAAGAACCTTTTAACATAAATCTTTTTGCTTTATGTACAGTACATTCAATTCCAATAATACCTTTCTACTTCTGTGTTATTTTTCATTATTGAACTGAGGTATGTTAGATACATGCCATCATAAGTTTCACAGATAGTTTTGGAATTATGTGCATGTTAGTCCAGTTAGAAATATATACTAGATAAGAAACTTTATCCTCTTCTTTGGTGACTGTATCCAACTGACTCTATGGTATGTGTAACACATACGTCCAGTATTGAAATAAATATCATAGTGGCTATAGCTGTAATGTAAAACCTCTTGTAAGTACCTCAGATAACAGTTTCACACCCTTGAAAATTTAAGGCTACAGGTAAGTATAAAGTCATGACTTTGTTTTTATTTCTTTCCTTTACAATTGTTAAACACAAAAGATAGTCCTATGATCAGAAAACAAAAATTCAGTAGATTTTGAATCACTCAATTTATTTTTTTCTCAGAACTACAATGTATATGTAAAGTGGCTTTTAGTCTATGATCTGATCATTTTTGTTTGTGTTATTAATTTGTGAAATAGAAATAGTTGTATATAAGAAATGTAGTTTAAAGTTTTTGTATGTGAAAGATTGAGTACATGAGATAGTTCACTATCATAAATACTCTTTAAACGTATTCTTCTTCCTTTTTTCTTTCAGAATGATATGCTCAGTCCTAAAGGAGTAAGTTTAGTCTTACATTTTATTATCTAATTAAAATTAATTATAATAAAACTAATTTCATTACAGTTTCAAGCTAGTGTGTAGAACCTTTCAGTTTTTATTTAATTTAATTTTTTAAGTGTGTGTGAATTATATGTATTACTGTGTATTACTGATTTTATATATATTTTTACGTCTCCATTTGTTAATTGATTTTCCGTAACTTCGTTCCGACAAAACTTTAGCGACACAAGTCCTTACTTAATAAAACTGGTTTATTCTTTCCGAATACAACTTTATGATACACTTATTTTCAACAGTCGCGCTATAACAAACTATAGTTCACGTCTCACGAGCTCTACTTCAACAATACGTCTCTCTCTGACTGCAGTTCAATTACTCATTACCTACACACACATTGTTGTCCCGTCACGTTGTGAGCGTCTTATATATATATATATATATACCAGACTAACTTTTATCTAGTAATCTCCCGGCAATTCCCGAAGGTTCGAGAGAACGAGTCACGTGACCTCGCTAACGCAACACTGCCCCTCCTTAGTATTGTTTGTCCCGAACAATAGCCACATACAATAAACC